CTCCATCCCATCATCTCCCGGCTCCGTCCCATCACCGGGCTCCATGCCGACCCCGCAGACGCAGCCCAGCGCCGGCGGCCGTGCCCAGCGCCCGTCCTCGCGGCAGTACATCAGCGGCGCGCCCTCGGCGGCGGGCACGGCGCCCGGCACGCACGCCCCGGCCGCCGGCGCCACCGGCCCGGCGGGCACGGTGGCCGGGAAGCGCGCCAGGCCGGCGGCGGCGGCCGGGCAGCGGCGGAAGAAGAGGCGCACCGAGAGCAGCGCCATGCAGGCGCCGCGGTCCTGGAAGGCCAGGTAGAAGCCGGCGCGGCTCAGCGGGCCCAGCCGCAGCACCTTGCGGTTGACGCGCCCGGCGGCGCCGCCCCGGCGCGTCAGGTGCTCGGCGGCCACCGTGTCCACCTTGACGTAGGGGTTCTCCATCCAGGGCGGCCAGGTGGCCGTGGCCGTGTCGGCGTCCGACTCGTGGTAGAACACCGAGAAGGTCTCCTTGCAGGTGCGGGCGGCGGCGCGGCGGCCGCGGGGCGGGGCGGGGCCGTTTCCGGGGAAATTGGGCGGTTTTGGGTCGTTGACGTGGAGATCGATGGGTTTGGGGCCGTTTCCGGGGAAATTGGGTGATTTTGGGTCGTTGACGTGGAGATCGATGGGTTTGGGGCCGTTTCTGGGGAAATTGGGCGGTTTTGGGTCGTTGCCGTGGAGATCGATGGGTTTGGGGTCATCTCCATAGAAATTGGGTGATTTTGGGTCACTGATGTGGAGATCGATGGGTTTGGGGCCGTTTCTGGGGAAATTGGGTGATTTTGGGTCGTTGACGTGGAGATCGATGGGTTTGGGGTCGTTTCCGGGGAAATTGGGTGATTTTGGGTCGTTGCCATGGAGATCAATGGGTTTGGGGTCGTTTCTGGAGAAATTGGGCGGTTTTGGGTCATTGCCATGGAGATCGATGGGTTTGGGGCCGTTTCCATGAAGATTGATTGGTTTGGGGTCGTTGCCATGGAGATTGACAAATTTGGGGTCGTTTCCGTTAAAATTGAGCGGTTTTGGGTCATTTCCATAAAAATTGGTGGGTTTGGGGTCGTTTCCATGGAGATCGACAAATCTGGGATCCCCGGCGCCGTGTCCATGCGTGTCCCCAATGCCGTGTCCATGCATGTCCCCCGTAGCGTGTCCATACGTGTCCCCAATGTCGTGTCCATGCGTGTCCCCTGTAGCGTGTCCATGCGTGTCCCTGATGCCGTGTCCATGCGTGTCCCCAGTGCCGTGTTCATGCGTGTCCCCGGTGCCGTGTCCATACATGTCCCCAGTGCCGTGTCCATGCGTGTCCCCTGTAACGTGTCCATGCGTGTCCCCGGTGCCGTGTCCATGCGTGTCCCCAGTGCCGTGTCCATGCGTGTCCCTGATGCCGTGTCCATGCGTGTCCCCAATGCCGTGTCCATGCGTGTCCCCAGTGCCGTGTCCATGCGTGTCCCCAGTGCCGTGTCCATGCGTGTCCCTGATGCCGTGTCCATGCGTGTCCCCGATGCCGTGTCCATGCGTGTCCCCCGTGGCGTGTCCATACGTGCCCCCCGTGGCGTGTCCATGCGTGTCCCCGATGCCGTGTCCATACGTGTCCCCAGTGCCGTGTCCATGCGTGTCCCCCGTGCCGTGTCCATACGTGTCCCCAGTGCCGTGTCCATGCGTGTCCCCAGTGCCATGTCCATACGTGTCCCCGATGCCGTGTCCATGCGTGTCCCCGATGCCGTGTCCGTGCGTGTCCCCCATAGCGTGTCCATGCGTGTCCCCAATGCCGTGTCCATGCGTGTCCCCGATGCCGTGTCCATGCGTGTCCCCCGTGGCGTGTCCGGGCGCGTCCCCACGCGTGTCCTCGCGTGTTCCCCGCGCCGCCCGCGTGCCGCCGGGCCCGTCGCAGGCCATGACCGTGAAGCGAATCTCGGCCAGGACCGTGATGGCGGCGCCGCGCCGCACCCAGCGCGAGCGCAGCCAGCTGTTCTGGGCGGGGCTCCAGCTGTTGGGGGCGGGGCTCTGACTGTTGTGGGCGGGGCTCCAGCTGTTCTGGGCGGGGCTC